CACACGCACCCGTGGCCCGAGGTCTCACCCGCACCCGCCGCACCACCCCCCACAGCTCCGCATGCTCTGCATCTGGCACTCACACCCACAGGAGAGCTGGGGCCTGGCGGACTCTGTGATCAGTAAAATCTGATATAGGTGAAAATCAGGCAGCAGAATCACAATTTGCGGATCATTTGAACAATGGTAGATATTGAACAAGTGGAAAGTTGGATTTTGTAGAATTCAATCAACATAAAATTCAAGCCAACAAAGGTAAATATCGCACATGGTAAAACTGCTTATTGATTCCAAATTGAAGGAAGCAGATTTTTCTGATATTGGAGCTATAAAATCAACCCAGGGAAGCTGGACATGGTAGAAATTCTGGTCACAATGGCAGTAGATATGATTGGTAAAATTTGGCACAGTCCAAGCAAAATAAAGAATAAAATCCTGCATGTGAAATGTACATAGAAAATCACTGACCCCAATGGGAAAAAAATCTATAAAATAAAAATGAAAATAGAAAATAAAAGTGAAGCCTTTTAACTGCTTTGTATGGAAAGTTGCTCAAGGAATGAAATCAACTTACATAGAACCAAGGAATGACATTTCTGTTCACTCTGGAAAATATATTCCCCATAAAAACTCATAAATGTTGGTATAATTCTGATGTTTAAAATGTGTGTATTCCTCAACCCACTGGCTCACAGACCTAATGGGTTGAGATGGTGGGGTCAAATGGTGGGTTTAAAACCAGGGGCCCAGAACACCCTGAAACTGGGTCAAGCATGTACATATACATGCACACCCATGCATACACACGTGTGGGACCACGCACCTGCCCATGCAGCCATGGCCTTCCTCCCCAGGGTACTGGCATGTCAGATGCCTACACTGTCTGGCATCTCCTGTCTGCCCCCCCCCACCAAGAGGGAACAATGAGGCCACTGTGACCCCTGCAGGATTCTGATGGCCTCACAATGTCCCTCTGAGGTCACCACAGAGATAATCTTACCACCCCTGGCACTCCCAGCACAAGTCTGCTGAGGCCAACTGTGGGAGATCATCCTTGCTCCTCCCTCCAGCCACCCAAGGGAAGGAGTGGGCTGGAGCCCTACAAGGAAGCCTCTGAGGGAACCAGGAACTGGGACGCACCTGACCCACCCACCAAGATCTTCCAAGCCAGTGGAGATTTCCAGCCGCCATCCTGGAGGTCCTCACACCCACCTCACTTCCCCTGCCCCAGGAAGAGATGCAGAAAGATACTTCACTGCTGCCCCCATCTATGCCTTCAGCCTCAAACACTGTCATGGGTGGAGGCCAACAGGCCAGTGGGTCAGAGGTCCCTACCAACAGTGAGACCGGGCACCACACCTGTCCTAAAAAGCCCCCGAAGCCCAGCATGTCCAAGGTGATCATGGGGGCTATGAAAGAGAAGGGGGCACGCAGCCGCATGTCCCGGGCCGCACTGAAGAAGGCTCTTACCACCATGGGCTTCGACATGACCCGCAATGCCTTTCACTTCAAACAAGTGCTCATGGGACTGGTGGACAAGGGCGTGCTCAAGCAAGTGACCGGCAGGGGGGTCTCGGGCTCCTTCCGCCTGGGCAAGAAGTGGGCCACCAAGGCCAAGCTCAAGGCCAAGAGACAGCAGCGGCGGCGGCGGCGGCAGTCTGGGCGGCGCCGATCTGGGCCGCGCCAGTCTAGACAGCGCAGGTCACTACTGGGCTCCAAACAGGGGCACAAGCGGCTTTTCAAGAGGGCTCGCAGGGTGAACAAATGCCACCGCAACTAATGAGGCAGGTCAGGCAAGCGGCAGCAGTGCCCGGCCTGCCATAGGCTCAGTGCAGTAGCAATAAAAGGAGCCTAACTTATTTCACACCTGCCTCCTGGAATCTTTGGGGTTCAGAGGAGTGGGAGAGGAAGAGGGCTGGGGACACAGAGGAGGTGTAAGGCCATGGGTAGAGGAAGCCTGGGGCGAAATAAGATAGGTTTGGGAAGGGCTGGTGGGATGGAAAGCATCCATAGACATCAGCTAGTCCAATCATGTCAGTGTGCAGGTAGAGAAATGGTAACGGAGTAATTGTGTGGCAGAGCCTGGCCTGGAACCCAGG